AGAGAGAGAGAGAGAGAGAGAGAGAGAGAGAGAGATTTGCTTCAATGTTGAGGTCATACGATGTCAGAGATCGGAGTCTGAGATCTACTTTTATGGCGAGAAACGGATTAATTGGATGTTCGCTAAGAAATTATATGTTGTGTTAGAGTTATGTCTCACGAATGACAGTGAGAACAGTGGGCTCTCATAAACACTGAACAGAGGCCTGAGAGCAGATGGTCTCCACTTCTCATATCCTTTTCAAACCATTACTTATCCCAAAAACACCAAAACTCTTCTTTAATCCTATATTTCCTTACGAGTAGTTTTGTGTTCAGTTTTTTACTTTTAAATAATTAGCAATTTTTAGAAACTTCTCTAAATATTTTTATAAACAGTTTCTCAAGTAATTAACTGAATATATAATTAATTTATGAATTTATGTTTAGTTGACAACTAAACAGTATAAGGATATGAATGAATGAAATGAGAGATTATTGAATATTAAGCACAATTTGATTGCATCCGGTTCTCTGTCGCTTCTTTGCATACAAAAGCGCTTCACAAACACAACGTTACGACTATAACGGGAGTTGAGGCACAACTCATATAATATAATTAAATTTTGTTTAATTCCAAACATATAATAAAATCCAATAAAAGTATATTTTATACACAATACTGGTATACAAATGATGTAAATAATAATCAATCCATAGAATTAACATTCATTGGTTATAATAGTGATAACTTATATAAATACAATTAAAGACTGTAACGGCATAACTACTAGTTATGGGACGGGTATATAAGGAGATGAATGTAAGTATGGGTTTGTGTTATATAAAAGGAGAGAAGGTTAGCACTCCCCTGGACGAGGACGGAGTAACACATAGGCGGGGGAGCACTCATTGTCTCACAAACAATGCCCTTTAGCCGAACCAATTTTTTTATGTCCATCACTTCCGATATTTATAAACACTTTTTTAAATTGCCGATAAAATGAATGCTTTATTTTAAATACGAAATTAAAATATAAATATCTCTTTTTGGAAAACAGTTTCGTTTAATTTAAATCATTGTTAAAAATAACTATAACTACAGGTGTTTGAGGAATAATTCGTGGTTTCGATTAACAAAAACGCGATGTCAGTCGTGGCCATAGATTGTCTCAGTTCCTGACATTCATTATTTTACCGCTAATTTAAGACAAATAAAAACAGTTAGAAATCATTTCAATGGAAGGATATATGAGTGAAGAGATGGCGAGGACTCACGTAATGGTTCTCTTTTCGGTGTTCTGTTTCTCAGGTCGGGCTCTGTTGAGGATCTTCAAGAAGTCCGATGTCTTGGCTCTCATTCTGGAGTGAATGTAGGCTTTGGAGCACTTGATGTGGTAATGAAGATAATCTCTAAAAGTGTGGATCAAATTGATTGTGTTGTCTCTGGAGTTCTTGTTGGTGTGTCGCGGGAACAGCACGAAAGTGATGTAACCGATGTTATCGCCCACTCGGGCCTCAGTGTTCTGCAACTCCATCGGCGGCTCTCT